GTGGCGCTGGCTCAGGCGCAAGTCATTGTATGCCGCAAGTGCGTTGGAATCGGCACGAAAGACTATCTCGATGCACTAGGGTATCTTCAACACGCTAAGATGCAAGCACTTCGAGGCAAAAGTTTGGACCAACAAACTCAATCGCTCCCGGGCCAGATCGAGTCAACCAAAGACAATCTAGACACCTACGCGAACGAGCTCGCCGACATGAAGGAGAAGACCGAGAAGCTGCCCAGGGCGTACGAACTCAAGCTACACGACCAGGCAGAAGCTGGCGAAGAGCTGCAATCACTCGAAGCTCAGCGTGCAGCGGCCGTGTCAGCGGCTGCCCAGAAGGTCTCCGCGAACTCCGATGTCGGGGAGCTGCTGCACGCCGCCTTGCAGTCCAAGATCCCAGAGGGCGGCCGCATCCCGCCCAGCCTCACGGCAAAGGTCCAGGAGGTCGGCGACCTGTTCGCGCAGTTCCAGGAGCAGCACCACGCAGCGATGGCCAGGGAGGCGGCGCCTTCACAGGTCGTCACAGGCGGCGGCACTGGGGAGGGGGGGGGGGGGGGGGGCGAGGCTTCTGCCGCGAGTAGGCTCGGCGCTGCGCCGTGGCCTGCGCCCCCTCACCGCCGCCGCCGTTCGTGGCGTGGACAGCGGTGATCGGATGGCCGCCGAGGCATTGTCAGTCCACCGCGGTGAGAAGGAGGCAGCAGCGGCTATGGGCTTCGACGTGGACACGCCGCACAACTTCGCATGCCATCGGCTCGCAGCAGGTAGCCTCTCAGAGGTGGCAGATCCCATGGCCAACAACGGCTCGGGCGACGATCGGGTCGGGTCAAGAAGACCAGAGGCTCAGCGCTCGCAGCCTCGCGCGCGGCCACTCGGTCTAATCAACAAGCTCGGTCTCGCCACGTTCAACGGCAGCTGCTGGCCTACCTTCATGCAGTGTTTGAAGTCAAAGTCTGCGCGCGACTGTTCTCTGATTTGTGTCCAAGGGCACAAGCTCCGAGATGGAAATGCCATATCGCAGTTAGTTCAGCGGTGCCAGGCAATAGGTTCGCTGGCGCATATCTCACCCGCGGCTCTCAACAACAATGAGCAGATCGTTAGTGGAGTTGCGATCCTCATCAGATCGAACCTCGGCTATGGCATTTCAAGCATGCGTTTCCCAAGCAC